GGTTTGGTTTGGGGTTTTTTGTGTTTGGTTGTGGGGTTTTTTTGTTTGCTTGGTTGGGGTTTTTTTTTAATGTAGATCATAGTGCATTGGCAGAAGTCAGGGAATGACAAAATTAAGAACAGCTAGCTAGGGTACAAGAGGGTAGGAATACACTCACAAATGTATCTGATGTGAAACTCTGTCTCTTGGCGCTCTTCTGCAAAAATAGTCATGCAAGGAGGGGATGGAAGCTTAGAGAGTGCCCCAGTCATTTACTTTTCAGAATGTTTTCTGGCTTATTTTGCTTCAGGTACTGTGTGCATGCTCGAACTGCTCCAGGAGAACAGGCTGATGAAGGCTGTTGATGGAGTAGCATATAGGCTGCTAGCTGTGAAATTCTCCTGGGATGTGAAAACCTTGCTTCAAATTTCTGCTCCGAACTAGGCAAAGGGGATATAGTTTCAAGAGAATGCAGGTGTTGTTAAGTGAAGAAAGGGACTGGATTTGGATCTGGTGTATTGTGTGCTGGTTCACTATTTTGTTAATTAAGCTTCTCACTGAATTTCTTTGAGAAATCAGAAACAAAACCATTGTAAGTTTATTTGGCCTTATGGGAGTGGAGAGGACTTCAGTAAAATTTTGTAGTCTTTGATCTGAAATATTTTCATGTCTCAGCAGCTGAAAAAAATTACCTTATGAAGAATATTTTTTTCTCTCCTCTTTCTTATTTAGTTTGCTCTGCAAATTTCACACTAGTAATAATAATCTTTTCCCTTCTTTTCTCACTTGTATTTGCCAGAAACTTTTCAACTTTGCATTTCCGTCCTTTTTGCAGGGAGAAAGGGGAAGGTTTAACAATTCTTCCTATTTGCTAGTTTTCCCTCGGATTCTTAGCTCCCAAGTCTTGCTATGGGTGGGTATGTCTCCCTTTCTACAGGCTGAAAGCGGGTCAGATTTTTTTTTATTCCCTTTTACTTGTGCCATACTTTTATCTGCAGCCTTCAGCAACGCAAGAGACATGGTTCAATGCTCCATCTTACCCAATATAATCACTTTATTAGCTTATATCAAAATAGTTTGTTTCAAAATAGCAGCAAGCAATTTTCCGCCCTGCCCTTCTTAAGTATTTTTCCAAAGATACTTCCCTTGTTTCATTTTGTCCTTTGCTGGGGACAGAGGGACAGGCAAAATAAGGCTATTATTTAAGGCTGACAAGGTGATGCATTCATGAGAACTTCCACGCCTTCCCACCCATAGACTATTGTTCCATTAAGAATACATCTGCATTGTGTACGCTAGCTGTCATGTTTTACTTTTGTGGAAATGTTTTTGCACTCATGATAGGTGTTAGTTTGTTTAAATGCACCCTGTAAATATCGAGTGTTGTGTTCTCAGACTTTCCTGAAACAGAGCATCATTGGAGTAAATGACTTGTGTGATGAGTGCAAATTTATTGTGTTCTTGGGGGGGTGGTAGTTAGGATTTGGTGTGTCAAACAAGTGAAATTCTTGGTATTATAGATGATTTGTACTGAAATTTAAATCTAAATCCCGCTGTGGTAGTGATATTCATCATAGCTCTTTTAATATTGTTTTTATAACCCCTTTTTCTTATTCTTTAACTCTTCCAGCTGTCTATTTACAGGAATCTACTCTGAAGGAGTTGGCACAGGTGGCACCATCTGTAAAAGACCAAAGTGTAAGCAGTACACAAATGGATGAAGTAACTCCTGCTGCTACTTTTGGGACTACTGTTAAACCAGCATTAGGAGTAGCTGAATCTGCAGGACAAGAGAAATCCAAGCTAGAGAAAGAAAGTGAGCGTGAGGATAAATCCAACAGACTGTCTGACAAAGAGATAGGTGCTGGAGAACACCATCACTTGCATCTTTCCAGCTGTCATGAATGCCTGCAACTTGAAAACAGTACTATTGAATCGGTCAGATTTGCTTCTGCAGAAAACATTCCAGAACTTTCAGATGATTGCAATAGCAAACTGGAAGAGAAGAATGATGACTGTCTAGCAAGAGGAGTAAAGAGAGTAAACCTTGCTGGAAAGCCCCCTAATATATTGATTTATCTTGGCTCTGAAACTGCAAAAGTGGAATTTGAGCGGGTAAAATCAATCCTTCAGGAATGTATTGATTCAGAGAGCTACACCATCTACCAGCTGCATGAGGAACAAGTTCTAAAAGCTCCATGGATTGATAATTCATTGCTGTTGATCATTGCCACAGAGGAACCTATTTCTGAGGAGAACCACAAACAATTTATGAAGTTTTTATCTAAAGGTGGAAAGATTCTAGCTTTTTCTTCATCTTTTACATTTGGTGGCATACAAATAAAGAGAAAAAGCAAACTAAGGAAGACTGTTCGTGAATTAGTGGTCTCTAAAATGGACAGCACTGAAATTACGTTAAATCTTTTGGTCAGTGGCTGTATTTTTGAGGAAGTGATGAAGGAAGATACCAGCAAAGTGAAGACATTGAGTCAATTAAATAACGCTGATAAAGATACAGTTATTGTTCATCTGACTTACGGAGACAGTGGAGGAGAAGCCATTCTTTCTCAGGTACTGCATATGCAGAAGCATTAATTTGCTCATTGCTACATGATGTTGTGGTATGCTAAAAAAGTTCACTTGTTCCCATTGCATGCTCTTGGGGATGCTTGTCAAGGGGAGGTATAGATGGATGTCTCAGTGAATGTACAAGGACTCTGAATGCAGAATAGTTTTCACTTGATCCTCAGGAAGCTTAAAGAATGGTAGAGAATGTCACTGCTGTTACACTTCCTTGTTTTCCCCATGTAGCCATGCACATGTAGATCATGCAAGATCACAGTGGGTGGTAGAAGAGAGTGCAGATTTGCATAGTAAGCAAGCATCTTCAAGAGCAGAGCTATCCTTTTCTGCCTTCTAGAAGTTGTGCAGTGATACAACTGTGCATTTGGCAGATTTGAGCGGAGTTGTTGGTGGATGACTCTGTCTTTGCTTTCAAGCAGTACATTGAGACAAGCAGAGCAAGATTATTTACCGGTATTAAGTATGAGGAATATAATGGAGACATAGCTCAACAAACTTCGTGAAAGATTCTAGGACCTATTTTTACCAATATTTCAGTTACAGGAGAACTTTCTCAGGAGCCCAGAGCACTCAAATTTAACTGCTCACGTATCAGGTAGCATACATGCTTCTAGCAATTATGTAATTCAGAAAAATTCATTGGGCTTCTTAGAAGTGTTTTTGTCTCTTATCAGTTTATCAGATAAAATCTGCTAGCTTTTTGGAAACTCTGTTATACATAGTAGCATGTTTATAGCTTTAGGTAGGAAGCTTTGCCACCCATGTGCTGTATGCTTGTACTAGAAAATTGATTAGATACTGTTGCTATCCATTTCTGCAAGTTCCATGGTAAAACCTGCTTTGCTGTACCGTTTAAATTGACCCTTCTGCTGTAGTAAAACTTAATACTGCAGAGGTTTTCCACAGAAAAAGGGCATTACAGTATAGCTTCAAAAATCAGATTAAAAGGATTAGTGTGTCATTTTATAATTTTAAATGACTTCCAGTCTGGATTTGAAAAGCCTTATTGTTTTCTATTCAGGGGACTGTGACATCAGCCATTAAATATTCTGTCACTGACTTGTTTCCCTTTTTTCTGTACTCTTCTGTTTCCGCTCTGCCCGCCCCCATTTCAGCATATTTCCCTGAATTTCAATAAAGTAGAATATATATGAAAGATGAAGAACATAATTAAAATGTGCGCAATTGGAGAAATGAACAAAGATAATAGCTTGTGATTTTCCTTAAATTAATATACATATAGTAGGGTACAAAAATCTTGGAACACTTATTGAAAAAACAAACAAAAAACCACAAAAAACACCAAACACAAAAAACCCCCACAAAAACTAAACGAAAAAGGAGGTCTAGAAGGGATTTTTTTTTTTTTCTTCATTTTCTGCATTTCATTTCTACTTTTAAGCATCTGCTTCAGCCTTGAGAAGTGATTCTCTGCAAGGTGATGTTCTGGGGTTCTTAGTTCTCTTTCAGATGGAAGCATTCCTTTATCTGCACTGATTGCAACTTAATTCATGTGACACAGTAAGGACTTGCTCAGCCTGAGTTCTACATGTCTTGTGCAACCTCTGATAAAGCTCTTTCAATTTTAATGTAATTCTGCTCTTGTACAAGCCAGAATATGACCAATATTGCTGTTGGTTCTAGGTTGCTAGCAGACATGAAAAGCAGAAGGAGAAATTTAAGTTAGTAAATACAAGTTTAAAAAACTCCTCCAGGAGAAGACCAGTTTATTAAGAAGGGATATTTTGTGTAGGTTTCAGAGAAAATTATAGTGTACTGGCAACTGTGATCCCTGAATCAGAAACTATAAATATATAGGTATTCCTTAGTTTATTAGTATAAACCCCCCCTCTACTTGTGTAGATATGATGAAGACGTGAGAAACTTTTAAATTGCACTAGTAACACTGGATAGTTCAGCAACCACAGTCAGGACAAAGCTGCTCTTGGAACTGTTGTGCTTATCTCTCTCTGCCACACTAAAATGTGTAATACCAACAAAATATATTTTTTTTTTAATTCCCCTTGCTCATATTGTGCCAGGCACACTTGGAACTGGATATCAATTCTATGGATGTCCAGACTGAAGAGGATTTTAATTTGCTTAAGATAAGCAATACCAAGAGATATGAAGTTCTCAAGGAAATCCTGATATCGCTTGGCCTGAGTTGTGAATTAAGCGAAATTCCTACGTTAACACCTATTTACCTTCTCTCTTCTGATGAGGTAAGGCTTCTGCTTACATTTCAGTTGTTTGAGACTTACCCTACAAGACAAATTCAGTGTTCACTTAAATATACCTTGTTTCTTATGTGGTATTTTTGTTTGGAGAGGTTTACAACTGTGTTACAGGTAAGCAAAAGGTTTAATTTCTATTCTTTCACTATTTTGTTTCCTGCTAGTAGTCGTTTTGAATTTATCCATGGGGAAATTGTGCAGGGTTAACTTTTCAGATATATTTGTTGTATTTCTGTTAAGAACTTTTATGCTTATTTGCATCCTTCTGCAATATCAAAACAAAAGGCTGTGGTAAGCTACAGAAGGAATTGATTTAAAAGACAGGATTTGTTTTTCTTTTAAAACAAGGTAGAAAGTTCTGCATAGGCTGGCAACAAAAGTTCAAACCCAAATTGTGGAGAATGGCGTGGCAGACTAAAACTGGAAGACCTGAGTGAGTAGGGAAGAGTGTGTGATTACACAATGAAGAGCTTTATTCCTGAGGATGTTGTAATATTTCCTGGGAAAAGAATAGCTTCTTGTAATTCAAATAGTCAGCTGACTATTCTGGACTTCTCAATTTGAGACATTGCTATGAAGAATTGTGAAGAACATATAAAGCAGTAATTCTAACTTTTTTTTTAAATATGATTTCAAATACATGAGAACTGTATTATATTGATCTGAAGGGGTGAAGCAGTAGGTGATTAAAAACCAATACAGGCTACTCAGGCTCTTTGAGGTGGTTGTTTCCAACCCATATAGCGCTGTCACTACTTGCTTTTAGCACACATGGCTGATTCCTGTTCCTTTTCTGTACTACCCTTACATTAGCACAGAAATGAGATGTCTGTGTTTAGGGGAACTCAACTATAGAAGCTCCTCCTTGGATGCCTCTTTCCAGCAGTATCATATATAACATCCTTTTTTGGCTACAGGATCAATCAATGAACAAAGTGACATATTGCAGCTCAATGTTTTAAAATAACTTGGATGATATTTTAGATTTAGATTGTACTTTTCAAAACACTGTTTGTTAATCTGGAAGGTAGGTATGATAAGCATTGCACAATTTATAGATTGGGAATATGTGATATGTGACTTCATTGTATGGCAGGCAAGTCAGTAGCAGATCTAGACAATCTGACTAAAATACTATTAAAGGGTGTATCTGTAAATTCAAATCTGCATTTTTTTTCTATGTCTCTGAAGATACTGCCAAAACTGTCTAGTGGTACATTAAGTAATACCCTCATATAGCGACTCATCTTGGATGTAAAAATTGATCAAAATTAGGCAAAATGCAGACAGCTTTTTTTTATTCCCCTTGAATGATTGCCCTTTCACGTGTGTCAAACTCTGCCAGATCCATCTCCTCTTTACAATGGTGAAAATACTATTGGAAGTGCTTCTATCCAGCCTTCTGCTTGAAGCAGGGCCGTTGCCAATGCTAGATCAGGTCAGCCATGCCCTTTGTCTGGTTGAATCTTGAAAACCTCCAAGGGTGCAGGCTACAACCTGTCTGTGCAACCTATTCCAATGCTGCTGTACCATTCTAGTGATTTTTTTTTTTTTTCCTGATGTCTAGCCTGAACCTCTCAAGCTGCAATTTATGGCTGTTGATGCTTCATTATATTGTCTGGCACTACAAAGAAGCATTTGGCTCTGTCATTCTTTTAACTCTCTTAAGTAGTTACAGGTAGTTATTAAATTACTCCTTAGCCTCCTCTTTGCCAAACTGAATGAACCCAGCTTCCTCAGCCTCTTCTTACAGACGTGTTGAGTACCCCTAGCCCCTTTGTGATTGCTTTCCAAGGAATTCTAAATAGCAATTCCTTGCATAAGCTTTGCTTTCCCAATACCTAACTTTGCTGCTTCCCTTTTCAGCCTTCCTCCAGATCTTGGATTCTCATGGTTGTTACAGCCAATGCTGCTGTCTGTGACCAAATAAGAAACAAGTTCTTCCCTGTCTGTGAGCAGTAAATTCGATTATCTATTTTTGTGGCAGATGTGGGAATAAAACTAAAACCCATTTAGCCTTTTTTACTAATATTAAATGTGCTCTATACAGAAGACTTGTCGTTTATTGAACTCTTCTTTTTTTTGTTCTACTCCTTCACTCTTTTTTTCGTGATTGTTTCTTTCCTATGCACTTGCAATTTTCAAATGTGCTGTGAATAAAAAAAGTTAGCTAATTTCTGTCCAAACTTGCCACCTAGTGGCATATTACAGGTTGCAGGCCATCGATTAAAGATATTTTTGCAATGTATACTGTATAGTTAAAGTTTACGCCAAAATTAGTTTTTTAAATATTGTTTTTCCACAGTTTTTTTTTTAATGGTAGTTTTTCTGTGCTTGTATGTGTGGTCATTGTTTCAATGTCTTTCGCTTCAGCCATGACATGATTCCAGAACATTGTGTGAAAGGAAGTTGCAACTTCTGTGTAAAAACTGCAGTTAATAATGAAGAGATAGCATATTATAATAAATAAGGAGTATGTAATAGTTCAGCTTTCTAACAAGTTATTTATTTTTCTCCATACATCAAGTTCTACATAGGTCTTCTTGCTTTCCTAGAAAGCAAGGAGATACCAGAAATGTACCTGACAGGTGAATAATTTGAGGAAATACTTAAACTTGTTTAAGATCAGAGTGAGTCAGTAGTACTGGAAATGGAGGAAACTGTCTTGCAAGCTCTAGTACTCTTGAACTGCCTTCTTTTTTATCACTGTTTGTATGGAGAGCTTGTCCAGTACAGGTCACTGGGGATGTATTGGATAGTATATTCCTTCCCTGAGAGATTATCAAAGTAATGCTCATTGACAGCAAGTGATTTTTGGATGATTTTCTTATGCTTCCCTGTAATAAGAAATGTCACAATGAGTCAACTGATGATCCTCATGTCCCCAAGCTCAATGTCCTATTAGCAGTTCCAAAAATGGAAGAATGGCAAATGCTCTTCTCCTTGTTTCTAAGAGTTGGTGGTTCACTAATGATTCCTCACCCCCAAACTGGCAGTTGCATCTGTACCGTTATGCTTAAAAACCTCTGGTAGACCTAACCTTGTCAGATTTTTCTAGTTAATTTAGGAACTACAAGCTCCTTTTGCTTATGTGAAAGAAATAATTGATTTTGCTCTGCATTTTCTACTCCATTAAGAAAAAATGTAGAATTTTTTTGGTCATTTTTAAATTCGTGAAATTTAAAGTGCTAGTTTGGTTAGTTTTTTTTCTTTCTGATCTGTAAGCTTCAATTTACAGTAGAGCTGTACCGTGTTCAGTGTGATTTCCTTGGTTTCTTTTTCCCATCCCCTTTCCTCCTTTTTCACATCAGAACTTTCATCACACCTATTTTCTACAACATTGTGGACATCAAATAAAACTTTCTCAACTTTATTATATGAAAAAATAGCTTCTCTTGTCTTTTCCTCTGCCTACAATTCCTGAACAATTCATGTCTTTTTGCATCATTGTTGTGATGCTGTTTAACAATCCCATCAAATCTATTATGCTGATTGGTATAAATTTGATTTATTAAGACTTTCAGATCTTCCTGTCTACTCTCTGTGTCTCGGGCAGTGCTTTTTGCAATGTAATTTGTAGCTGTTTCTCAGGGATGGATTAGAAATTTTTTTTTTTTTTTTTTCTCCTTAGGGTTCACATTTTGAAGTTTTAGTTTCCAGTTTATATGGTTATCATGTATCTTAAAATCACAGTTTTGCTACATGGATTAAAAAAAGCCAATAAAATATGAGCGGAACTGACATTAGCTTATTAGCTTTCTGAAAATCAGTGTAACTTTAGAATTTGGGGAGACAATTTCTTTAATTCCTAAAAAAGAAAGAGTTGAATTTTGACTCTAAGCATCCAGGATTTCATATATGTTATCTATTACCTTTTTTTTTTTACATGTATATATATTATAAAAACTGGGGGCTAGTTTGTTGTATGAAAAAATAAACAAAGGTATAATTAACTTACACATAATTAAATGTAGTGTCCTTTTCTTTGAAAAAAGACTTGGAACGGCAGATGTTAATATTTCATGAGGAGTTATGCACTTTGTAATGCATTTTTTGCCTTTGGCATATGAAAAGAAGATTTTAGTTTAGGGTGGAATGTAGGGGACTTGGGAAGAAATATTTAAACCTTAACAGTAGTTATGTTGAAAATTACACAATTAAATTTTATCACTCAAGAAAAATACATTAGGAACGGGATGGTCAAGCTTTTAAAAAAGTGATATATTGACTGCATATGGCTTAGCCAGACTAGATTTATGCTGCTGATACTGTTCTAAAACAGGCAGAGATTTCCAGCTGTGCTATAATTCAAGTTGGAGATGGGATGAGTTGGAGGCTGTACTAAATAAGCACTGAACCTCATTTTAGCTGTTGAATACCTTTCTAAACAACGGAAATTAGATCATGTTGTTACCACTGTTGGGGTAACAATATTTAGGTTACTTGTCAGTAGAAAGTTAAAATGTCAGATTGATACGTTAAACCAGAAAATATAATTTCTTAAATTTTTGTGTGTATTGCAGTTCTCAAATAATGCTACTGCTGTGATTTGATTCCCGTATCTTGGGGATTTTCAGTTTTATTCTTCTTTTT